TGCTTGAATCCAGTCCACTATTTCAGCTGTGTATTTAATGACTGGAAGTGGCCAGGTGTTGATTGCCTTGATGGTATTTCCTTCAATGAGTTTGGACTTTAAGATCTTCTTCACTCTCTTGATGTATTCATTTCAAATCTTTTTCTTGACTTCAGTGTGCTTGATGTAGTCAGCTTGAAGGATACCCAGGAATTTATAGTGATCATCTTCATTCAGACTTTTGGATAGGGTATTTTGATTCCACCAGTTTTCACTATTTTTCCCCATTTGATGGTAAAAATGGCACATTTGTCCAGCCAAACTCCATTGCAATATTTTGGCTGATATACAGAGAGTGTTGAGCAGAAATTCTATTTCGGATGTTTTTTTCCATACAGCTTCAGATTGTCCATGTAAAGGAAATGGGATAATCTGGCGGATGTTTTTGATACTTGGTAGCCATGGCCCAAATTATTCAGTATTGTTGACAGAGGAATAAGTGCAATGACAAACTGTAGTGGTGATAGTGAGTTTCCTTGGAAGATTTTTCTCGATACAAACCTCTCCCATTCTATCACCATTGACCAACAACTTCCATTGTGTCATCGATCTTTGCACAAAGCTTCTGATTTTCTATCAACTGATATTTCTAGGTACTTGATTATCCAATCATGTGGCAGGGAGTTGAATGCCTTACTGTAACAAATCCATGCTGCATTCAAGTTGGTTGTCTTTCTCTTGCAGTTTTCCAGAATCATCTTGTCAATTAGGAGTTGATTTTTTATTTCTCTGCTGTTTGGGCAGTTTCCTTTCTGCTGAAGTGGAAAGAGCTTATTTTCAACTAGATGCTGTTGGACTGCATCACACCAGTTAGTAATTTGAAAGTTGTTGGTAAGCAGGTAATTGGCCTGTAGTTGCTTGATGCTGCCCCTTTTGCTGGATCTTAAAGCTATTGGTGAGCAGGTAATTGGCCTGTAGTTGCTTGGTGCTGTCCGTTTTGCTGGATCTTAAATTATCAGGTACATTTTGCCACATATAAGCCACTCTTCAATTTCACTGCTTGCAGTATGTTGTTAGACTGCTTAGCAATGAGTGTAGACTAGTTAGATGTTTCAACCAAAATCCATGCAATTCATCTTCACCTGACCAATTCGTGATTTCCCTTGCCCTTTTATAATAGAATAATAACTTTGTCACTTTGAACGTACACTAATCGGCATACATTAAAATAAAATTTCATTGCATACAGCTCTCAAAGGTCACCACCTTCGATATACACTACATAAATATGACAGAAATAAATAAATAAATACAGAATTATACATATACCTATATTATATGACACAAAGAAACAACAGTCTAGTTCAGGTTATGTATATATGTGCATGGTGAGAAAAACAAATCTTGCGAGTTTATCAGACAGATGGCATAGGGAACAAAGCTATTGCAGAATCAGGTAGTCTTGCTAGAAATACTTCAAAACCTCCTCCCAGAGGAGAGCAACAGAAACAGTGGGTGTGTAAAGTGGGTGTGTGGGGTCTCTAACAGTGCTTTGAGCTCTAAGCACAAAGCACTTATAAGTAGCATCCTGAATACCAGGGAGCGAGCTTCCTATGATCTTCTCGGCTGTCTTTACCATTCTCTGTAGGACTTTCTATCTGAGGCACTGCGGCCACCAAACCAGACAGTGATGCAGCTTGTTAAAATGCTCTCAATCATGTAAAAAGTGGCCAGGAGAGAAGGAAGAAGATGTGCTCTCCTCATCCAATGCAGGAAATGCAAACGCTGGTTTCCACACTTCACTAAGGATGACGTGTGGAGAAACCAGTTCAGATTGTTAGTTCTCTGCACCCCCAGATACTTAATACTGTTGACCACCTCTACGGCTGCATCCTTAATACTGACTGGACTATGACTATGCCGGCTCTTTCTACAATGATCTCCTTTATTTTGTCAACATTTAGAACCAGGTTACTTTTATTGCACCAGTCCACCAGAGCCTTCCCCTCTTCTCTATAAGCATCTTTCTTACCATTTCTGCCCTTATTACTTGTTCTTTCATTTCAGCTTCTTTTTCATTCTTATTCACCTTCTTTAACCAAGCTATGAGCTTATTATATTTCTTTGGGTTATCCCATATCTTTGCCGAAAACTGTCCTCTTTCTTCCTTGTCAGATGCTGACAGATTCACTAAAATCTCTCCATTGATGGACTAGTAGAAACCATTGATTAAATTGAAACTGGAGATTCTACCTATATTTAGAAATTCAAGCTTTGTTATCTTCTAATCTTCTTGGCTATATTTGCTGCTTTATGATTTCCAGTGCTTCCTTAATCTTACTTGTTTCTAAGTGTATGTCCTGATTAGGTATTCTTTGGTCTTCTTGTTCTTCAGCTTTTTTTAAAATCTGTTCTAGCTAACTTTCATCTGAGCTCAACTTGCTAATCTTATTTTCTAGCCTGATCTTCCATTTTGAAGATTCAGTTATAACTGCAGCTTTGCTGTACATTAGTTGGTTTGTTTCTTGCAGTGAGTTGGTGCTTATATTTGATATTGCAGTATTTGAATCTTTTAATGCTTGTGCGAGCTGTTTCTTTGGAACAAGCTTCAATGCAGGCAGCCTTATTCTGATATTTTTGTATCATTCTAGATGCTCAGTTATTCCTTGTTTCAATTCTTTTACTTCTTTAGTTAGAGGGCTTTGTTCTTCCTAAGGCAGAGGAGGCAGAGGAGAGGGTGATTTCTTTATTCAATACTTCTACTTTGTTCTTTCTGAGGTAATGGCAAAGTGTTCCTCATGGCTTTCAGAGGTGCTCCCCACAAGTTACTTCAAGTGAGATTAAATTGCTCTCTAGAGATCAGTTAAGATTATGGCTACTGTTATAGCCTCTCTGCTGCACAATGATCTCCCTGCCTGGGCTCTTTGATTCCATTTCTGAAGGGCAGTGAAGTTTCCCAATTTTATCTGCCTTCTCTGTGGATAGTTCTGCCACCATGACAGGTATGAGTGTAACCCAGCTCATCCCAAGGGCATGGGACATTGGTTACATATCTGGTTTTCATGTTTGAGCAATGGCAATTGATCAGGAATTGGAAGAACTGTCTGTGGCTCCCATGTCATGGTCAAATCATGCCCTGATAACCAAAGGATTTTTTGGTATTATTCCCCACTTCAGGGAGACAGGACCTATTTCATTGGTCTACTAATGGCAACAGAGGGGTCCAGATAGATTCCATAGGGAGTTGGGACTTATTCTTGATGGTTTGCTGCATGGTCGTATGAGGAATAAAAGGGCAGAGGAGGCCTTAGACACACATACAACCTTTCTTTTCTCACAGACCCTATCACTGTCTGTGATTTATAGAAAAGTTGAGGGGGATCAAGTGGGTTAAGAGATTTCCTGGAGTTCTGCTGGAGATTGACAAAGATTGTGGAAATTGATGATGCTAGCAAGCTATTTCCCTTTTGTGGAAGGCGGGATGAAGGGATTTGTACTACTTAATACATCAAAGTGGAGATGTATTGAAGTTATGCAGGCAATCGGGTCTTGTCCAGCTTGGTGATAGCAAGCATGAATGTTAGTTGAGTAAGATTGTTTGCAACTCACAATAGACATCTTAGAGACATTTTAATATACCTGGTGGGGCAGTTGTCTGGAAAATCTCATTAAGGTAATAATAATAATAAAGTTGGAAGGGACCTTGGAGGTCATCTAGTCCTTGGGGGACGAGTCCGTCCTTTGGGATATGATAAAGTCTGTTTACCGACAGGTCAGAGAAGAATTTTTGAAGGTCACAACCTCGTAAGTGGTGAAGACCTCCGTCCAACAAGGTGACCAATTAACAAGATTGACAGTCCTTCAAAGAGGAATCAAGATCCAACGATCTCTCCTTGATTAGTTTCCATCCGTTGCTTCTTGTCCTGCCTTCAGGCACCTTGGAAAATAGCTTGACTCCCTCTTCTTTGTGGCAGTCCCTGAGATATTGGAATACTGCTATCATGTCCCCCCTCATGCTTCTCTTCATTAAACTAGACATACCCAATTCCAGCAGCCTTTCCTTATATGCTTTGGCCTCCAGTCCCCTAATCATCTTTGTTGCTCTTCTCTGTACTCTTTCTAGAGTCTCAACATCTTTTTTACATCGTGGTGACCAAAACTGGATGCAGTATTCCAAGTGTGTCCTTACTAAGGCATTGTAAAGTGGTATTAATACTTCACGTGATCTTGATTCTATCCCTCTGTTAATGCAGTCCAGCACTGTGTTGGCCTTTTTGGCAGCTGCAGCACACTGCTGGCTCATATTTAAGTGATTGTCCACTAGGACTCCGAGGTTCCTCTCACAGTTACTACTATTGAGCAAGGTGCCCCCTATACTATACCTGTACATTTGGTTTTTCTTGCCTAAATGTAGAACCTTACTTTTTTCACCATTGAATTTCATTTTGTTAGATAGCACCCAGTGTTCAAGTCTGTCCAGATCCTCCTGTATCCTAAGCCTGTCTTCTGGAGTGTTGGCTATTCCTGCCAGCTTGGTGTCATCTGCAAATTTGATGATTTCCCCATCTATCCCCTCTTCCAAATCGTTGATGAAGATGTTGAAGAGCACTGGGCCCAGAACAGAGCCCTAGGGCACCTCACTACACACTTCCCTCCATGTAGATGTGGTTCCAATGAGGAAGCATAGTGGACTCTGGAATTTTAAAACTGATGGTTTATGTTAGAGAGTACTGTTTTCTCTTTACTGTTCTAATTGCATAGTATTTTTCATGAAATCATTACTTCCTTCCTCACAAAATACAGTCCTCAAATCATTTTCCATAGTGATGGGAAATAGGATGACAACTCTGTTTAAGTTTCAAAAATATCCAATAGAAAAGATGCAAAGTTTTTATAATCATCTTATATTCTGGCATCTTGTACTTTATTCGAGCAGAAGATAACAGAAATATGCTCAGTTAAGAAAAAATTATTTGTTGTTTCTTTTGTTGAACAAATTCAATGTCTTATTTAACATATAGGCCCAGGACGAGCTGATGAACTCAGGCCTTTACCTTGTACTGCTGCTTCATCTATATGAGCAAAGGTTTGCAGAACTCATGAGATTAAACTACAATCAAGCCTCCAGAGATAGGGTAATAGCCAGAATAATATCTGTTTTTTCTTTCTGTTTACATAGGAAGATTTGCACTTCCTTTGTGTTTATCACATCTATTCACAGCAACCTAGGAATCTCAGAGTTCCCTGTGTCACTACCAGATTAAATGAGTATAGGTAAACAGGAACACATCTGTCTTTAAAAAACAAACAAATTTTTGTTTAGAATATACAGTACATTTATTTATTATCCCACCTTCGCTTTGTACAAATCAAGCTAGTGATGCTCCTGTCTCCTATTTTCCCCAAAACTAAAATGCTGAGAGACAATGTGCAAATCACCTAGCTGGCCTTCATGCTCAAGGGAGAACTAGAACATCGTCTCCCAGTTTCAAGGCCAGCATTTTCATCACAACATTAAACTGGCTTTCATAAACTTTTATAATTTATGTCCTTTAGTATAGTGCATATTATTTTATCTTTGTATATTACACATTTGTGTTTATATCTTTTTTGTAATATGCAGTTTTTAATTGGAAAATTTATCACAAATTTGTGAAATTTTGATGTTTTAGAAGTATAAAATTGTAGATGTGATGAAGCTTCATTCATTATTAATACCTAACATATCATAAATGTTCGGCATGCCTTGCTTAGGCCAACAGTACTCATTTAACAAAGTACTGTTGTATTTAGAATAAAATTAATATTGTAGATACCTCAACAATATCCATTAAGATACTAGAAATTCATACCTTATTTGTGCTATCAGCTGTTAAATATCCAAGATTAGAAAACCATGTAGAATCCTCTAGACGTGTATTACGACATAAGCTTTTATCCAGCCACAAAGGAATCACATTTTTTAAAATTCCAGTAAACTGGATGAAATGTTACAGCACCTTAACTTAAATGGTTACAGTACTTAAAATTTTAGTACTATGCTTTCTCCATTTATTTTAGATTGGTTGTACTTTTTAAAAGACTTTCAAAGCTATTTCTATAAGATTATTAAAAAATATAAAATCCTATTTCTGTTTATTATTAATAGAGAGGTATATTAATCTTTTTTCTTTTTTCTAGCTCTCAAGGCAACCTAGAACAGAGGAAAACCAAAGTAGGTTTATATAGGTTTACAGCAAGATGCATGCTATTTAATAGTTTTCAAACATCTTATTTGTTATTTCTTACAGTGCCTATAAATCTTATGTTTACTACTTACTTTTGTGGCATCAATATGATAAATTCCTCTTCTAGCATAAAATCAGATAGCAAAAATAAACCTTATATCTTACGTGACTTTCAGTTTCTTTCAATGTCTTGAAACTATTGAGAGTAGAAGAGAACAATGGGATTCTGAAGCTCTTTCCATTTAGGAAGATTAAGAAGTACAACCAATATTTCCAACATGTTTTACAAAAATAATCAGTGCAGTGGCCATAGAATTGTTAAGATTGTTGATTCTTTTGTTTCAGAAATTATATAGATGGTAGCATTGGTTTAAAATTTTATGAAGTTCCTAGCCTCTCAGATATTCAATTTTACAAAACATAAGTAGAAAAATATAGTTCTGAATGAGCACAACTATTGGTGTAATAAACCAGATTTTAAAACTCTGTAATTAAAAATATGTAGTAACTCTCATAATGCAAAATCAGCAATAATAAAAGTTGTTCTGTTCTTATTTCTTTATGATCTAAGTCAGGGGTCCCCAACTCCTGCAGCTCATTCAGAATCGGCTTGTGGAAGCAACAGACAGGCAATCGCACATGTGCAACTCCACTTGCGTGCACAGTAAGTGGGTGATGTCACACACACAGCTCCATTTGTGTGAGCAGTGGGTGCATGTGCAAGCAGGGGGTGTGCGTATCCACCACTTGTGCAAATGTAGCTATGCACACTCTCCCGCCACTTGTGTGGAACCATCCTCTCTTCCCCCCTGCCAGTCAACAAAGCCAGAAAGGTTGGAGACCATTGATCTAACTCAATGTATCATTTGCTTTATTGCTGAAGCAACAAGCGTTGAATGATACATTTTTATGGCACTCTTTTTCTGCCACTATTCAGCACTGATTTATTCTTTCAGGAACAGAAAGACTGGTTAACAACTAGGTTGACCAACAGAATGTCCTAAAATAGAACTTTGAGACAATCGGTCATATTTTTTCTGGCAATTTGCTCACTTCTTCCAGAAATAGTCAGCTGAATATTGCAGCATGAAAGTCAAAGTCAAGTGCAGCAAGTTTAAGGGATCAACAACAAATGACATAGATGGAATTGAAGGCAAATATATCTTTATCTTGAAAGTCCCAGCATGGACATTTGGTAGCAATATAATACATAATAAAACATGTAGCATTAGTTGATGAGTTAAAGCCTTTATCACAGTGGTTCTCAACCTGTGGGTCGGGACCCCATTTGGGGTCGATCGACCATTTCATGGGGGTCGCCAAGCAAGGCTGTCTGCCATTTTTTTTGTCCGCCATTTTTTTCCCCTTTTCTGGCGGGTGCCTTACCTCCCTTGGGCTGGGCCAGCTGGTGGTCGGCCTGCTCCGTCTCTGCCGCTTGCCAGCTACGCCTCGGCTGGCGCAGGGGGCGGAACCACGCATGTGCGGCGCTCCCGGGCAGGGAAAGTCCTCGACTTACGACCGGTTGGGTAGTCCTCGACTTACGACCGGTTTAGTCCTCGACTTACGACCGGTTGGGGTCGCGGCATTAAAAAGGTTGAGAACCACTGCTTTATCAGATGCAACTCATGGTTGGCCACTTTTTATATTGTATAATGAAACTAAAGAAATGAAATGAAAGCAGTGACAATTTTATGTGATACTTGAATGTCTATAAAATAATCAGGTGAGATTTTGCAACAGCAGAAATTATAAGATATATATATTTAATCCCTTGTAATTAATTAACACTTGTGGGGTAACAGAGCTCAGCTTTATTCCTGAGCTTCTTAATAAATTCTGACTCAACTTGGGTCTTTCCTGGAAGTTCTGTCTTTGAAGAATGGGAGTTCAAGATTAATGCTATTGGAATTTAATGTACTTTAGTGTCAGAATATTTCATTTTATTCATTTATGTTTTTCTTTTGGTTAGCAATTGACCTGTTTTGGCTACTGTATTTAGGTAACACAAGAACATTGCTGATGCATTATCACATGTATCAACTTTCCCCAGTTTATTTGGACTTGAATTCCTACGGTCCCCCAGCTTGCACAGCTTGGGATGCTAAGAATCAATAGTTTAGTGACTATTTGATAGATTTACAGTTATACAGATTCTTGTAACACAGCACAAATAATTGGTTAAGAGAGCCAGCTTGGTATAGCAGTTAAGGCACCAGTCTAGAAAGGCTGAGTTCTAGTTCTGCGTTAGGCACAAAGCCAGCTTGGTGACTTTGCTCCAGTTACTCTCTCTTAGCCCTAGGAAAGAGACAATGGTAAATGATTTCTAAAAAGTTGCCAAAAAAACTAGTCCACTCACTTGGAGGGACTAAAAACATGTTGGTTAAGAAATATCCGAGATTTGTCTTCACCCTGAACTTCAGAATAACAGTTGGAAGAGACCTTGGAGGTCTTCTAGTCCAACTCCCTGCACCATTCTGGACAAATGACTACCCAATCTTTTTAAAAACCTCCAGTGATAGAGCACCCACTACTTCTGAAAGCAAGACGTTCCACTAGTTAATTGTTTTCACTGTCAGGAAATTTCTCCTTAGTTCTAGGTTGCTTCTCTCCTTGATTAGTTTTCATCCATTTCTTCTTGTTCTGCAAGATAAATAAATAAACCTATTTATTTATTTATAAATAGGTTAACCTCTTCTTCTTTGTGGCAGCCCTCAATTATTGGAACACTGCTATCATGTCACCCTGGTCCTTCTTTTCACTAAAAAAGATATACCCAATTCTTGCAACTGTTCTTCATGTTTTAGCCTCCAGCCCACTAATCATCTTTTTTGCTCTTTTTTGCACTCCTTCCAGAGTCACATCTTTCTTATATTGTGGCGACTAAAACTAGATGCAATATTCCAAATGTGGTCTTACCACAGATTTATAAAATGGTACTAACATTTCACAGGATCTTGATTCAACCCTGTTAATACAGCCTAGGATTGCACTAGCTTCTTTGACAGCTGCAGCATACTGTTGGCTCATATTTAAAGTGTTTATCCACTGTGAATCCAAGATCCCTCCTATATTTACTGCTGTTGAGTCAGATTCCACCTATTCTATAATTATACCTTTGTTTGTTCTTTCCTGTGTAAAATCTTACTTTTCTCACCACTGAATTTTATTTTGTTAATAGGATCCAGTGTACAACTCTTGTCAAAATCCTTCTGGATCTTGAACCTATCTTCTGGGGTGTTGGCTATTCCTGCAGCTTGGTATTGGCTGCAAATTTGATGAGTTCCCTTGTATTTCCTCATCTAAATAATTTAGGAAGATATTGAAGAGTACTGGGCCTAAGACAGAACCTTGGAGTACCCCACTGCTTCCTTCCTTCCATATAGATGTCGTTCAATTAAGGAGTACATATTCAATGCAGTTTGCCAGCCAATTACAAATCCATCTGGTGATGATGCTGTCTAACCCAGGGCTTTTCAACCAGTGGTACACGTACCACCAGTGGTACTTTAGCACCTGGCAGGTGGTACGTGACCCCTAGCCAAGTGTAGTGGGGGAGGGAACCAGCTAAAGCGGCGCCGCACAGACCTGGAGATCAGCTGGAGCTGCAGAGCTTGGCAGAAGCCCCAGGATCGGCGCACGTGATGACATGGCAGTTGGAGCTTCTGGCACACACGGAAGAGAAAAGGAGGAGGAGGGCAGGGAGAAGGTATAAAAGGGGCAGGTTTTGGCAGGAGAGGGAAAGAGTGAGAAGCAAAGTAGTGAGGAGAGACAGAGTGAGCAGCCTGTTTTCGGAGGAAGGTTGAGTAAGCGAACGGCCTGTTTTTGGGGGGAAGGGTGAGCGAGCGGCCTGTTTTCGGAGAAAAGGTGAGTGAGTGAGCAGGCTGTTTTGGGGGAAAGAGTGATTGAGAGCAAGCGAGCAGCCTGTTTTTGGGGGAAGGGCGAGCGAGTGGCCTGTTTTCGGGGGAAGGGTGCTGATCAGCCGGAGGCTGGCACTGATCCTGGCGCCTCTGCTGAGCCCTGACAGCCCTGCAGAAGCGCCAATCAGCTGTCAGGCTCAGCAGAAGCCCAAGATCAGTGCAGGCAGGAAGGAAGGAAGGAAGGGAGGAAGGAAGGAAGGAGATGGGAATGAGAAGGAGGGGAGGAAGGAAGGAAAAAGGAAGGGAGGAACCCCCCCATGGTAACCACAATGCTAATGCGGCCCTCAATGAAATTGAGTTTGATACCTGATATAAAACGTTGTTAAGTCAATCTGATTTCCCCATTACTTGTCAAAAGGTTGCTTGTCAAAAGGTTGCAAAAGGGGATCACATGATCTTAAGACACTGCAGCCATCATAAATATGAATCAGTTGCTAAGCATCCGAATGTAAATCACATGACCCTGGGAATGCTGAAACGGTAATGACTGTGAAAAATGGTCATAAATCACTTTTTTCAGTGCCATTGTAACTTCTCACAGTCACTAAACAAACTGTTATAAGTTGAGGACTACCTGTACTTTATCACTTTTTTCCTTTTTTTTTTGGTCAAGGTTTTGACACCTTGCTAGGCAACTAGTAGTACTCAGATATTGCCATATCCTAAAAGTGGTACAATGGGTGAAAATATTGAAAAGCCCTTGTCTAACCCACATTTTTCTAGCTTATCAAGAAGTAGGTTTTGGTCTGCTTTGTCAAATGCCTTTCTGAAATCCAAGTAGATAATCTTCCTTTATGATGAACATAGAAAGCCTGCTGGCTTGATCAGTGCAGATCCCTTTTCCTTCCAGTATCAGTTTCATCACCTTATGGATGCAAACATGACCTTAGACATAGTGTGCTAATATATACCTTAATGAGAAACGTGTGTGTGCTAAAATTGTATTTTTAATCTTTGCAAAGATGCAGTTACAATGAAGAGTGAAAGATTCTTGATTCAAGCCTCCCTACTCTGAAAACTCCATAAAATGTTTGTTTGTTTACTTATATACTTATCAAATTTAGAAATGGCCCATCACACCCTGGGTAATGTACAATTAAATTATAACTCTCCAAGTAATAAATTGAAGCCATAGTTCAGAATCTGAAGCAACTAGAATGCTTGTTATTCAGCTTTACTGTTATTAGTAATATATAAGCATTATCAATTAGCTATGAGATGTTAAAATAACCAAGTTTTTAAAAATGATTATGTACTGTATTCCATGTTTCAGAAAACAGAAATCTCTTTATAGAACAGTGATATTTCCCAATTTTCTGTGCCTACTTACCTTTAAGTAAATTTATTGAAATCACGAGTACACAATAAATAGTTTGCCTCTGTGGCTAGGGACAGTATGATAGCTTTTTCCCTTTGGGGATGTCAAAAAAGTTTGCTAGTTAGCTATATTAAGTAACTATATTAAGCTATCATAGGATTTGTATTACAGGTAGTTCTCAACTTATGACCACAATTGAGACCAGAATCTCTCACTCAGTTAAGTGAGTTGTGCCCAATTTTATGACCTTTTTCCCCCCACAGCTGTTAATCGAAGTGCAGTTGTTAAATGAATCTTTTTCTTTTTCTGTGTCTAGATCAAACTTTAAACTGCCAAAATGAAGCCACCTTCTTTGTCATTGGCCAGAAATAAGTCATTATCAGTACATGTTTCTGGTAGTAGCTGATATATAAGCAGATGGGCTGGATTCTGTGTTTCTCCACATTCACATAGCATGTTGTTATCCACTAAGAGCTTCCACCTGAGCATATTTATTTTACATTTAGTCACTCCAACTCTCAACCTGTTCAGGGTCCTCCAGATAGTATAAGAAAAATCAGATCCTTCAGCCATGTCATGTACCATTAAGTAAATTTGTCATCCCCCATTGACTTATCTCGTTGGAAGCTAGCTGGGAAGATTGCAAATGGCAATCACATGACCCTGGGATGCTGCAACCATCATCAATAAATGCCAAATGCCCAAATGAAGATGCTGCTTATGGTTGTAAATAAAATGACCAGTCATCATTTTTTTCAATACTGTGTAACTTAGAATGGTTGCTAAACAAGTGTTTGTAAGTGGTTGAATCTCTTTATACTTCCTGAATATCTCCTGCATCAAAATGGTGGGAAACTATAATGTTAAGTTTCAGTAATCAAGGGTTCTGGAGCTATTGAAAGGGAGTTTGATAACCATGCAGTCATAGGGCTATGCTGCCTACCTAATATATAAAACTGGAGTTTTACCCCACATTCCAACATCACCCCCATGCCCACAGGGAACCAGAGTAATATTCAACTTTGCTTGCTACTTAGCTGTATCTTAATAAAAATGTTGCAGTGCTACTTCTTTCAAACCCTTCCATTTGGCAATATCTATGCACATTTACCCAGAATACATTCTTCTTTGTTCGGAGTTTTTTATTCACTAGTGTGTTTCAGCTGCTGCCCTGCTACTTTTGGTGACATGGTACTTCTAAACAAGGCTTATATCAGGCAATTATCCTGCTTATTTACAGAATTGTATTAGAGTTCCAGATGACATGAACTTTCTTCTGCATCTTTCCTGTGTTTTTCCATTATTGTGAAAAAGTACTTAGTTTCTAAATGATTATGTACATATGGATGCTACTGTGATAAGACAGCAACCTTACTATAAAGGTATTAGAAAGAAAATAACATCTGATTCCCTAGGTTTCAAGTCATGCAAGATGTTACAGTTTTTTCTAGTTTTTAGATCATTGCTCTTCAATGACAGTATCTATTTCATGAATGAGGGCAAATGGATAATGTTGCAGGATCCAATATCTGAGTTGGTCACCAGGACCAGAGGTTTAGTCTTATGAGCTTTCAGACTCGTGCTGGAGCTCATCCTCAGGGAACTTCTCTCTGCCAGAATGTATGCTTTGGGTTATTCTATGCATAATATTTATGTGATGCCTGGTTGTGTGTGGCTTTTTATTTGTTGGCTGGAGTGTTGAAGGCTGACTATTAAGTCATTGGCTGTTGTTTTCTTGTCCTGCCACATCCTTGGCTCCTAAATGCTTGATAAGTAGTGGTAAATCAGCCCTTCCTTTTTCCAGGCTTCAATCATTTATCTGGCTATCTTTGTACCTACTCGGTCAACAATCTTAGTAGCTGCTATTCTCCCACAATCTCCCACTTCCAAGCAATCTTTGCAGTGCATCTTTACAATGCATCATGCATTGCAAAGATCGCTTGGTGGTGGGAGATACTTTTAATATAATCTACTAAAACCCTTGCATGGATTGCCCCTGTGATTAAGTAGGGCAGACAGGGAGGAAGCCAACCACCAGACTGCAAGAACACAAGAGTGGTCAGACGAGGGGACCCGAACTCATTGGTAGCCTCACATTGCAACGAACGATATACATTCAATTTCGCAGCTACTAAGATTGTTGGCTGAGCAGGTAAAAGATAGTAAGGGAAATGACTGAAGCCTGGAAAATGGACTCTCAATCAACAGGAGTGCTGACTTACCACCAGCTTATCAGTTATTTAGGAGCTGAGGACTTGGCAGCACAAGGAAACAACAGTTAATGATTTAATAGCTGGCCATCCATACCCCAATCAACAAATAAAAAGCCACACATAACCAGGCATCACATAAATACTATGCAAATAGCCCAAAGTGCACATTCTGGTAGAGAGAAGTTCCTTGAGGATAGGCTCCAGCATGAGTCCAAAAGCTCACAAGATTAAACCTCTGGTTCTGGTGATGATCCATACTGGATCCTTAATATCTGTAATGATTATTATCTATAGTAAGAAGGGGGCACATATTTAAAATAAGAGTTTTCAGGTATAAATCCATATATCACTAAAATGTGTTGTGCTATTTGCAGTGTTTCAATATCTATTTTATAGCAAAGGGACACTATAGTTAATTAGTTTTTGTATGGTCAACATCTGATATAAATCTCCTTGAAGGTAATAAATTGAATAAGATAGTCAGTTATCTAGAGAAATGTACTACTGTGTTTCCCCAAAAATAAGACTGGGTCTTATTATTATTGTTTGCCTCCAAAAGAGGCACCAGGTCTTATTTTTAGGGGGGTGTCTTTTATACTCACCTCCAGCACCAGCAGTCCCGCCCAGCTGCTCTACTTCTTCTGCAGTTAAAGGCCTTTCCAGAAGGCCTCTGCAGCCTAGTACTGAGCTATTGATTCAACCCATAGCTTGGTTCTCAGCTACAGCGGCCTTGCAGAACCAAGCTATGGATTGAATCCATAGCTCGGTTCTTGGCTGCAAAGGCCTTCCGGAAAGGCCTCTGATTGCCAAATGCAGGCCAGAATGTAGAAGACATCACAGAAGAAGTGGGCCAGCGAGGAGAGGCCTAGCTGCCAGGTAAGTGGGTGCAGGGCGCGTGGGGCAGCTCCACCCCCCAGCCCCACCCTAGCTTGATTTTTAGGTGTGTGCCTCAGTCCAAAACTACGACTTATTTTTGAGGTAGGGCTTATATTAGGCCCATTCCCAAAAATCAAGCTAGGGCTTATTTTTGGTGTAGGCCTTACTTTTGGGGAAACATGGTATGTATATGCTGAGACAAGCATCCTTTATTATATGACATTGAAAAACACCCAATATATTCTGAGATAGAATGCTTGGAATATTCTCTTGACTTTGTCAAATTAATTTGAACGTGTGACATTCATATGTATACAATATATGCCATGTCACAAGTACAGTACATTATTCCAGGTGTTATTTTGGGATTCCAGATTATTTTAGTTTAACTACTAATCATGAAATGATAAATGTTTATGATGAATGCATAAACACAATTTTATCACTAATTTAGAAAGATTTTGTTAATACTTATTAATGGGCAGTCTAAATTTTTCTGAATTGTCATTTTATTTCTTTTTGTATGCTTAATATCACACGCTACATATTTTTACTAGTTACATTGAGTAACTGTAGTTAATTGAGACCCTTTGCAAATATAAACAAATTCAAATGCAATAATGATTCTGACACTTCTTTTGGGATGGTCCCAGTTTGTCAGAGTGGAACTAAATACCTTTACTTGGCCTATTCAGTTCATTTTAATTAACTGTGTCACTTAATTAAGCTACAGTTTATTACATTGTTTGGAACTTCTCTGCATTCTTCAACAAGTTTAAAATCGTTGCTGTTTTATGAGGCAAAAGAGTCTAAATAATAAATGTATGTGTATGTGTATATATATATATATATATATATGTATGTATGTATGTATGTATGTTATGTATGTTATTTATTTGTTTTATTTGTTTATTTATTATTTATTTACTGCAGATCCAACCAATTCTGCCAACAGTGGCTAAGAACTGTCAAGCAGGATCTGAAGAAGTAAATTCCTTTTAGAAATCTCCTCTACACCCTTCCACTTTCACCTGTTGATAACACCAGGCCAAAATGAATATGTGCACCATTCATATTCAGTGTCACCTTTTTAAATTTAAAGCCTTCTAAGGGTCTGGGGTTGTTTGTGTGGTTTGGTTCTTGTCTTAAGTTGTATTACTAACTTTTTTTCAATACTTTGGATTATTAACAGCAATTTGTAAAGTATAAATATCTCCTACTGACTAGCCAGCAACTACTTCTCAATCAACAACGGCTACAGTTTTGTTTGTGGGTACTTTTTAACTGAAGTTTAGCAATCTTCTAGATGGCTAGGTCCCTGTTTTTCTATACTTTCTTTAGAAGCCAGTCTGCATAATTTTGGTATGAATCAGAGGCTTCTTGAAGATCCAAAATCATTTGTATATTAAAATAAAGTTGTATGCCCCATCTTATCAAACAATCTGTGATACACAGATGTAAATGAACTGATGTACTGTTGTATGAACATCTTGCCTATGATTTACATGGCACAAGAATTTAATAAAATACACAATCTTTTGTTCTCTTTCCAGACACCACCTTACCCTTTTTGCAGAATAGATAGTTTGCTTAGTTATAATATCACTGTTATACTATTTTAGGACCAGGGTAAAAATCCAGTAGGTATTTCCTTCATAAGTGTAGTACTTAGAGTTTTTGATATAAACTCTCTTTACCTTGAGATAAACCCAGAGTTTTCTTTAAACCTCACCTCTCTAAACTTCTTTAAATCTCACCTATTTTATTTTGCTATACATTTAGTGGTTTTTTTCCTTGGCGAGAACTGTTTCATGCTCAGTACTGCACATGCTGTAAGTTCATGATGGTTTAATGTTACAACAATACCAACAACTGTAGTCCAGAAAATTTATCTCATTTGGAGCCTTTACAACATCGCCACTAATTTCCATGCTGCCATAATAAGCTATTTTGAAGAACTTATGCTTCTAAACCTAGAGACAGCTTTTGAAAATTACATTGCCATAAAATACAAATCGTGGAACATAATTTATAAATACAGAAAGTATTTTTGAAGAGTGTCTATGCCCATAGGAGGGAATCCGAGAACACCGATAAGGTACTTAAAGTACCCTTGTAGTTCAAACATACCATATTGGTTACAGATGCATGAATCCTTTGCAGAGAAATTTCATTTCTTTGTTTACACTTCATAAACAGTGAATGCCTTCAGTGATCAAGCATAGTGTATCATAGGACAGGATGCAACCTTTTAAAGCTATGCTGAATATCAATTTCTTTTTTTAACTGATCTTTTTTGTTTATATATGATAGTAAGTATTAAAACCTTTGCAACTGCATCCCTGAAAATGAATGCTTTAAATAAACATATTTAAGATTAAGTAAGCATATCTCATAGATACCGTCTAAAGCTTCATTGGCATTCTGATTTTCATCTTGCTCTAGAGTTGATGCCTTAAGTGTTAAATATTCTGACTATTCTCCTAAAGGAGTAAGTTGTGAATCAATTTTAGAGATTGTATTTTTAGTTTTCTAATTCTAGTTAGTTTCCCTTTATATCATCTCTCTATATACTATATTTTGACTTGAATTAGCTACCTGTATAATTCAAAAGGAGCAATATTGCATACTATTATAGATGTTTGCAATTAAACTGGGATAAATTGCAAAGTTTGGCTAAGGCCAGAATTAAATAGTACTGATTTTTTAAAGTTCTTCTGCTTCATACATTACCTAGCACAAATGATTATCTATCCTTATGGTTTTGAGTTCCAACTTGAGTTCCATTGCAGAGAAAAATTTAACAATGCTTATTTAGATCACATAACATAGAATCTTCCCAATATTAATCAAAGCAAAGATCGGCATTGTAATACATTCTGAGATAATAAAATAAATCGCAAAGGGCTAAGAACTGTTTTGATTCTTTGTGACTATTAAAAACACGGGGAAAAAAACATATTGCTGATAATGATGGGAAAGTAAGCTTTATTCAAAATACTTATTTTTTTAAAAAAGCTATAGCAATCTATTTTAAAATATGCCAGTTTCGTTTTTAGCACCTTTTCACATTATTAAAAACAAATAGAAAATATTTAAACAAACATTTTTCCAGTATATTGAAATGCCTCCATTAATGGCAGTATACTTCTCCCCTCCTTTATGGAATTAATCATTTCTAGTTACACTTGATTTACTCTGAAAGCAAATAATAAGCAAGAATATACAGTATAGTCATTATGGATAGAGAAACTGAGGGAATAGCAGCCGCTTGGATAGCTGGGAGAATGAAGAGGCTGATCTTGAAAAGCTTTCCATCCTTTCAGCTCTGCTATTGCACTTTCTCCTTGAACACATGTTAGCTGGCCTGCCTTGCACAAGAGATGTTTTCAAGACAATTCCCCTATCAAACAAAATTGAAAGAGCATGCCAGCAGTTCCTGGGGAAGGAACCTATGCTTTTTTTTAAAAAAAAAATAGTCATTTCAGTGAACACTGGTGTTAGTTTCCACAAGATATTTGCACATAAATCCTGTCCTAAATATTACTGCAAAGTGATTCTACTTCATCAGTAAAGTGGCAAATCTTTTGTGCCCACTGCTACAAATCTTGACCTCTGCCCTAGCTTTATTAAGATGCTGGAGGGCTGCTTGTATATCTCAACAGTGTATCCCATCAGTGAGATGAAAAAAACATTGCACATGCTCAAAGGCAACTTGCCCATCCTACGACAGTTTGAAACATCTAAATGCTCTATATTGATTTAAATTATCCCCTGAGGAGAAAAATATTGAGCAAGAAAGCCATATAAACATATACAGATATACACTCCTTTAAATCAAAACGTTGCCCACAAAATAGGCAGTTATCAAGGAAAAGGAAACGGGAAAGTTAGATTTGCTTTTGAAACTTCCCTTACTGTTTGTTGGTCTGGAATGTATTCAGGTATCTAAATGTCATAAGTATACCTTTTTTTTTTACAAACACTTAATATCCAGCTTAAGTGAAAATTCTGTTTTCATATATAATAAAATTCCTTAAGTATCTAAGTTGTAAAAATATTTATCCCCACTTCATTGAAACAGTCACCACTCAGAAATATTTAATTAGAAACAAAAACGTAAAATAGAAAGGCTCTTACAGGGTGCCTGTTTTAAATGAGGCTCCTTTTATTCTTTATTTCTGTAAATAATTATTATAATAAAAAGCCACTATTCTAAGCAGGTACAGTATTTTTTCATTGGTTCTTAGCATCTGGCATCCAAGCCTTAAGTTGCCCAGCAGCCTATATGCTATTTTTAAATAAAAATAAAGGATTTACTTTTTTCCAAATGATTTTAAACCCATGGGGAATTCACAGGCCAGCTTTCTGTTGCTGAAACATGACTGCCCAAAGTAGGGGGAGAAATAAAATATTGAGAAGGGCATCCAAATGTCATAATACAAACTCTGCTTCTACACACATACAATATGATGTCTCTCACACAAAAGCAGTGGTGTCGTGCTGCTCATTTTGTGATTGTGATGAAACTCAGATACTGAGCACATTGGGTTCCAAAATTTGGATGATATCTTTGTGCAATATCAGTTTTAAACAATAAGTGCATTATTGTTTCTTATTTGTGTTATTACATAGGGCAATTACTGCTTTGGCTGCCTTTATTCATTTTAAGTGCTCAAACATTATTTCATCTGGGGAAATGTAATCCCTCAGTACAACCTTCTCATTCTGATTATTCTTCTCTCAGAGATATAAAGATCCAAATGCCACACCTACCGCATTTTCTTAACACATGTGTTTTATAATCAATGAATAGTAATTACACAATACTCTGGCCATTTTTATGCAGTATTGTATGAAGTATCTAACTGCCAAAACATTTAACATCCTTATTTTGTTACCCCAAAGCATTCATTTATTAAATTTATTTGCCACCCATAAATTTAATAAAATAAATCTATCTATACTGGTGCTTAAAAGTTTGTGAACCCTTTCAATATTTATACATAAATATAGTCTAAACCATGATCTGTTCTCCACATGTCCTTAAACTAGATAAAGAAACCAATTAAACAAATGAGTCAAGACATTATGCAGAAATATTGAACCTTCAAAGAGATTCACCAGCTTTTAAGCACCGCTATAAATATTTCTATCATGAAGCTGGCGCTTGTAAATATGAAAGTTCAATGATGCTGCTTTCAATGATTTTGGGAAAAGGCTTTCTATGGCAATAGGTTTCATGGTAGTATCAAGGCTTAGAAAAGAAAAAGTCGCTGGGCAGCAGTGGAATAGAAGATCTGGTCTCAACCAAAAGAATTCAAGGGCCTTTCACATGGCTCTGAGAAGTAATGGAAGACATCACAGAAAGAAACAGACAGAACAGGAAAGGAAGAGCAAGATGAAAAGATACAGCAAAATACTTGTTTTGCTATTATTATCAGAGAGAGAAAAATGCTTATATACTAAGTCTCTAAAGAGATGTGAAGAAGCTGTACAGCTACCTAGAGATTATAGGTTCCAAAATGAGATTTTCCTTCCAAGAGATCAACCATCAGTTTTCTCTTCTCTGAGTAGGATAAAGGTAAAAGCTGGAATTTCTTACAAAGCTCCATTTTGTATTTCTCCACATCTCTTTAGTGGGTTGCTGCCCTGCCTTTCAACTCTTCTGCTGTGACTCAGCAGTTGTGTTCTGCTCTCCTGAGAGGCTTGTTTTTGAGACTGTTCATGACAGGTACTTGTGACCCTCTCATCCCTGTTCCCCACCCCCACCCCCACTCCCACACTTGACAGATTCACCATTAGTCTTGTTGTTCATTCATCTCCATATCAGATACCAGGATGTTCTTCTCAGCAGATTCACTAGGACTTGCATTGGTGCGGCTATAGCGAGCACTCTCAAATGTCCCTCGTTCTGAAATCCATCTGCGCTTATACAGATAGAAGGCAACAGCTACCAGTACACAGAGTGCTAGAGAGGAGAGGATGACTACAACAATGGTTTTTGTGTTTTCCAGGAAAGCTGCAGTAAAAAGAGAAAGGTTAGGAGGAAAGATCCATTTTGTAGCTAAACCGTATTCAAAGAAGAATGAGCAAAATAATTTTGTGTGTAAAACTGACCAATAACAACAACTTGATGAACACTAAGAGATGTATCACTGAAGTTGGGAGATTCCAATCTATTTAGAAACAGTGTATATTTCATCTAAATACTTTGCTTACTCGTAGACTTTGTCAAACTATTCAAAATAGCCATAATCTGCAATTATATATAGATGTGCTAAATTCAACTTGTTCAATTATTTCTACCACTTTCTTTCAAATAATAACAGATAAAATCTAAAGGACTTTCTCTTCAATAGTAAATGATGCTCTACAAACTTTTTCCATACAAGGCATCATGGACTACAAACCCCATGGTAGCATCCATGCAAAATTATAAACTACATGTCTCTTACTCCCCCCCCCCCCCCAAATATGAAGAGATATCAAAGCATCATCTTTGGTAAAGTCAATGGACTCTCCAGTCCTATTTAAAATGACCTAATCCTGATTATAATTCTCAAGTCAATGCTTTTTTCACATCTAAGGCAGGTTGGTGTTGGTGGTAAAAGAACAGGGCAGGAGGCAGGATGAAGAATTAAAGAAAGTCTATTTCTAGCATGCTATCTGCCTTTGTTACACTTACCTAATATAATTTAAGTAGGGGGAATCATTAAGTTGAACAATCTTCTTCAAATACTTGCCATACCCACAGTGCAGAATATATTTATTTTTTATTAGTTTGGTTTATCTTCTGTTTTTTATTCAGTTTGAGCACTCATATGCAAAACCTAATTAGAGCAACTTTCACCCTATTAATTTCAACAGTGGTATTAATAGGTGTGTTGGGTTAGGCAACCCAAGTAGGCTATAAAGGGGCAAAGCATACCTGATTTGGAGATGGAGCTTCCTTTCACTGCCATGGAAAATACAAAGAAATAAAAATGTCAGCTTCCTGTCCCAATATCATTTGACCTACCTCTCTAATGCTGTTCAAGCTATTCCATAATGACTCATATTCTGCTGTAGCATCTCCTGAGTTGTGATCAAATATTTCTTGATTTCAAACTACGTATCTCCAATTTAGTCACATACTCACAAGGAGGTAGATCATATTTACATGTAGTTGAGCCCTTAATTTTTGTCCTCCATCATAATATTAAACAAATTAAAATACTTTAATTAATCCAACTTAGAAAAATGTGAACATATGCAAATCTTTCTAGATTCCTACAATGCTTAATCAGGCAGAATGGAAACGATTATGTGTAATCCACTCACTGTCTCCCCTTTATCTAATAAGGGTTTCTCTTTTAACTCTTTTTCATTTTGCCTCTTAAAGAATTCCATAAACCTGCAGAATATTGCAGATTCTTTCAATTTTAGTTGGTCCAATCAAAGACCCAATTCTAACTTAAGGCTACCACAAACCAACCACAATTTACAGGAAAGTAAAGAACTATACAACCCAAATCTTGTCTAAACCAATCAGCCACTTATCTGCCCACTGGCCCAAAGTCTTCCTGACTCCTCAAATTCATCCGCACGTCTTCATGAAAATATTTGCTTTCCCCCTATAAAAACAGATCGTTCCAACCATAAAATAGTATCTGTTATAATTTGCTCTTGTCCTAAAATATATGGATAGGTAAGAACTTCCAGCTCCAGTTTGCATTCTCTAATGCTGCAGTTCACCTTAGGGCCATTAAAAGCCTGCCCTGATTTTATCTCGACAAATTTAATTCATTTCCTCACCTCGAGTTGTCTTACAGATGACTCCCATTGTTACATTTGAACAAGAGCCCAGACGCCATACCCCATTGCTGCTCTGGATCCAATAGCAGCTATTTGGGCTGATCATGCTTGGTCCTGTGTCATGTTGTCCCCAGTTAGAATAGTTTACAGCTGTGCTGTCATGCCACACAAGTGTGCCCCCTGTGCAGAAGGGAGAAACATGCTTTGTGTGATTAATGAAAGAGCCATTCTAGAGTAATACATGAGAATCTCCTTAGACCACCAAATGTTGGAAAGTAGCAAAAGGCAGTAGCATAATCATTAAAACATTTGACCAGGACTGGGAATGCACCACCCACACCCAGTCACTCTTTGTCAACCCAGCCAAGTTCATGGGTTTATTTTTGTGGGAGAAAAAGTAAAGAAAGATCCCATGTAAACCACCTTTGGAGAAACAGAGGGATATAAAGCTAATAAGTACACTGTCAAAGTATACTTTCAGAGAATGACTTTCCAGCAAAGCACATTGCTACAAATCAATTTCAAAGTTATCAAAGTTGTCTAAGTGCTAAACAGTAAAGCAGTCTCTCAATTCTGCTTGATTTACCTTTGGGATTAAAGGACATCCCCAGCCATACTCCTTTGGCTTGGCTCTCATAAACTTGTAGATGTTGCCAAATAAAGATATTCTCCATCTCATCTAGAATGGACAGCATCATACCTCCAACTGTGGAGAATAGAAGAGATGCAACAGCCTGAAAAATTACAGAACAGTTTACACTTCACTGGGAGAGAGAAACTTTGCCGTAGTTCAGAGGCCCTTAAATTACGCAATTCTCCTCATATGAAGGCTATTCACCAGAATAAATATGCAATATATTTTACAATTGTGTTTTTTAATTCTAGAATATATTGCATATTTATTCTTGTGAATAAATGCATTTGGTGAATTTCTGTAAGACTGACGTTTACAAGAAACACAACTTCACATACATGGGTATCTGCTGGGAGGGTCCAACTCTACAAAATGGCAGCATCATAATCAATGCTCTACCTCTTTTATATGTGTGTTTGACAACACAGCAGATATAAAAGGATGGGATTTTAGTCAAGATGCCATATTTATCATCCTGCTGATTTTGATTTTTTTAAAAATTATCAAACTTATATGCCATCTATCTCATCAAAGCCAACTGTAAACAGTGTACAAACATTCAATAAAAATACCATATATAATTTTTTAAAAATAGAGACCATAAATTTAAAATACAGTTAAAATTAAATTGACCAAGATGGAGAAGAATGGAGCAACTGAGACTTATTGGGGTCCTAGGTCAGTTGGCAGTGGCAGGTCTTCAGGCCCTTTCAGAAAATTGAAAGGGTAAGTACTGATCTCATCTGGGGGGAATAGTATTCCAGAGAAATGGCCCTTTCTCTGGGGCCTTGCCAGCCAGAATGCCTTAACTGCAGGGTCCGTAGTATTATTCTTGTGACAGCATGGATTGATAGGCTAATCTTATCAGGATGAAATGATTCCTCAGAAAACTTGAACCTGGATTTTCACCACCACTCCATCCCACCAACCAACTGCATATATGCTATTCATCCATCCATCCATCATTTGTATCCCATCTTTATTATTTTTACAAATAATTCAAGGTGGCAGACATATCCAGAACACTTTCTTCCTCCTATATTCCTCACAACAACCACCCTGTGAGGTGAGTTGGGCTGAGAGAGCGTGACTGGCCCAAAATCATCCAGCTGGCTTTCATGGCTAATACATGACTAGAACTCACAGTTTTCCAAGTTCTAGTTGGAAGCCACCTGGAGTCACGTGGAAGCGAGATGGGCAGCAAACATATGTAATAAATAAATGCATGCATACATACATAAGTACATTACTTAGCTGTAATCCTTAAAAAGAAATCTTGTTGCCAATTTTACAAAATAGGATTGCTTGGAGGCCTAGATTGTGCTTCCAAAAATCTTCCTCTTTGACCTGGACTGAATCAGAGATTTTTTGATTTGCTTCAAGCTGCCCAGTTGTAAGAAACAGATGCAAAAGTGTCTATGGAAGATGCTGATGCTGAACGCCCTGCTTGTAACTTAACCTGCTCTTTTTAGCTATTATCAACTGCTTATCTGTACTGAGTTCCATTCTAAAGTAACTGAGAAATGCAAACTGTCCAGGAGAGATGCTTCACAAGAAGCAAAAAAGTGTCAGAACTTGCATGAAAGAGACAGAAACAAATAAAAGTCCTCAAGCTGAGAAGAGGAAGATGAGGACAAATTGCTGCCTACAGCCTCCAAGATATCCTATCACCCCAGAGAGATCTTAAACAATATCGAACATTTGTTATATTAATTTATTCAGGATCTGAAGCTGGAGTGGGAGAAATCCTTTATTCAGTAAAAGAAGATGTAGCAGGTATGTAATGTCTGAAGAGAATCAATAAATAGTTCAAAGTTTTACCAAAGTTTTACCAAAAAAGTTATAAGACATTGCTCAGATATCTACAAGTAGTCCTCGACTTACATTTCAATTAGTTCATTTAGTGACCATTCAAAGTTGCAATAGCACTGAAAAAGTGACTTATGACCATTTTTCACACTTATGACCATTACAGCATCCCCATAGTCAGGTGATCAAAATTCAGATGTTTGGCACCTAACTCATATTTATGACAGTTGCAGTGTCCCGGGGTCATGTGATCATCTTTTGTGACCTTCTGACAAGCAAAGTCAATGGGGAAGTCAGATTCACTTAACAACTGTGTTACTAACGTAACAACTGCAGTGATTCACTTAACAACTGTGACAAGAAAGGTCATAAAATGGAGCATTTAACAACTGTCTCACTTAGCAACAGATATTTTGGGCTCAATTGTGGTTGTAAATTGAGAACTACCTGTAGTCAGGCCATGTTTCAAGTACAAAACAGCCTCTAGCATAAAAAATAATTGAGAAAGACATTATGAGTCTTAAAATGCCTCTGGCAGATCCTAAATAACATAGCAGATGAAAAAAAACAGAACAATACCATGATAAATTATATAGAAACAAAGGTAATAATCTCTTCCTAGATCTACATTTGTCTGAAAAGGGCATACATAGTCAAAGAATTCAAAATTACAGGCTTGCAAAGTTAAAATAAAATCAAGAGTTATTGTAATTAAGTTTCTAAATTAATGTACCAGAGATAAAATTCTTAGGAAGCTCACAGGCTGAAGAAAATGAAGTGGGGACATTCATCAAACTATTCTACAAAATGTAATTGCATTCAAGTCTATAACAGAACTGTTGATAGAAATGGGAAATTGCTGTGAATGGAGATGTCCATGGTAACTTTTACAACTACAAAGAACAGAGATAATTTCTATTATTCAGGCCTTGAATCAAATTCTGGCAGACTTGAAGATTCCCATGATGTTGACAAAATGAAGAATTTGAACATTAAAATAGACACAGTTCCAAAAGGATGATCAAAAGGTAAATATAATAAAGGAAACCATATTGACCAGTTAGGAAGTACCGTGTTTTCCCAAAAGTAAGACCTGTCCTGAAAATAAGCCCTAGCTTGACCTTTGGAGATGGGCCTAATATAAGCCCTACCCCCAAAATAACCCCTAGTTTTGGGGTGAGGTGCACACCTAAAAATTAAGCTAGGGTGGGGGGGGTGCAACTGCTCCATGCACACTGCACCCACTTACCGTGGCAGCCAGGCCTCCCATGAATCGACACCTGCCTCGCTGGCCCACTTCTTTTGCGGCGCCCCCAGCCTGCATTTCTCCATCAGAGGCTTTCAGGAAAGGCCTCTGCAGCTGAGAATGGAGCTTCAGATTCCCCTGGCCTGCATTTCGCCATCAGAGACCTTCTGGAAAGTCTCTGCAGCCAAGAACTGAGCTACAGATTCAATCCAAAATGCAGGCCGGGAGGCTCTATGTGCATCAATCCGGAGCTTCATTCTCAATTGCAGAGGCATTTTTTTCAGCCGCAGAAGTGGACCAGCTGGATGGAGCTGTCAGTGCTGCCGCAGTGAGGTAAGACCATGGAAAAGACACCCCAAAAATAAAACCTGGTACCTCCTTTGGAGGCTAAAAAAAAAAAAAGACTGTGTCTTATTTTTCAGGGAAACATGGTAGTATAATATATAAAACTTTAATTTGCATCAGGACGTAAAGAAATATAGTTAAATTATAGCTAATTTATTAAGGTAAGGATAAATTTTATTGGGCAGCAAAACCCTTCCCCATTTAAAGCGTAAAGGGGCCAGAACAAGGTGGGGAGTTGGTTAGGAGGTGAACAAGAATATTAAGAATTTAGGGATCATTATAGGGGAGAGATTTGTGGGCACTGATGGCTTTGATGAGGGCTGGGAGTTTCAGAAGGGAAAAGCAACAAGGAACAAAGTACAGTCAATGAAAAGTTTATTCTTAAAAGCCTAGAATAAATTCAAATCATTTTAAGACATGCCAGGTATACATAGCAGCAATAATATTTCATGTGTAATATTTGTACATTTATCTAATTGATTGTTGGAGAATTGAGAAATCCAATTTAAAAGATGAAATTTTAAGATAGACACTTAAAGCAGGGAAGACAGTAATGAATTTTTGAAGACAGAGAACAAATGGTCAAGTACTTTTGTAAACTATTGTAAAGTGACACTTCATAACAGGAAAAATATTTTTTTAGAAATTTTAAATTTTTTAACAGACAAAAAAAATTATGGACATAGAGGCTGACATTTTGACTTGCAAAATATGTCATATCTTTGAGCTTATGCCCACAGAAGACCCAAACTATATATATATATATATATATATATATATATATATATCAAATGTAAATCATATGAATTACTAGAAGAAAAAGTAAAGGGTCTAGAAGCAACTCTAGCCACTCTGAAACTCAATGAACAAAGTGAGATTCTCCAACCTAAACAAGAAGACTGCACCAAAATAAAACACAATAGGGAGCAAACAGCTTCTTAAAAGAAGACCTCATATATGAACAAAAAGAAGACAATTGATACATCCAAATGGAACACAATTGGGAACAAACAGCTTCCAAAAAATTGACCCTATACATGAACCTAAAGAGGAAGACCGATGGAAACATGTCACTTTTAGAAGAAAACAGCAATCAAGAGCAAAGCCGCTATTACTATGTTTCCCAAAAAATAAGATGCACCCAGAAAATAAGCCCTGGCATGATTTTTAGCATGCGCCTAATATAAGCCCTACCCCCAAAATAAACCCTAGTTAAGAGCCTGCCCACTTCATCACATCATCTGGTTGCTTGCTGCCACAACGGGACAGGAGGCTGTACAATGCTCTAGTGCCCCTGCCACGAGGTGAAGCGAGGTAGATGGGGGGGAGCTGCCCCATGCCCCCGCGCACCTTAGGGCCCCTACAGCCAGGCCACTCACCGCTCGGCAATGAACCCCTGCCTGTTCAATGATCCACAGCCCCTGCTTCGCCTCCTCCCACCCTGCTCCCCATTCATGCCTATATTGTATGGTTTAAATGTCGGCAGCTCTGGAAGCCGGTGGTAGGCTCTCTGCATCATCCCAGGGCTGCGAGTTTCAACCATCTGGCTCTGCCCACACAGCCCACACAGCCACAAGACAGTTATACCAGGGCTGGCGATAGGGGTGCTTTGAAGATCGCGCTGCTGTGACTTCAGCCACAGAAAGCCTACTACCGGCCTCCAGAGCTGCCG